AGTTTCGGGCATAACACGTCGGCGCCAGGGGAACAGAGGCTTCCGTTCGCACTGGAAGGGGCGGAAGTGGCCCGCGCGCCAGCGACCGTGCCAGGGGGCGCGGTCGCCCCTGGATCCCTCTCCACCAAGCTGGCCGCGCGCGAAGGCATGTCTTAAGTCGGGCACGTCCTTCTAGAGGAGGAATGTTCAAACATTGTTACCACATTTGAATTTTTTTGAGCATTTTTTTTCGGTCAAAATCCGCCTGTAGGGGGACATGCCCGACGTGAGGCATGCCCAACGAGAGGCGGAGGGAGCAAGGGAGGCACGTGAGCCGCTCCGCCTCAGCTCCCCGAGGGGATTGGCCCCCGTGGCGGTGGCCAGCTCACGGCCAGTTCTGCAGCTGCAGGCGGTTGAGGACGTCGGACCGCCCAGTATTGTAGTCGAGGGGCGCAATGGCGGGCCCCATCCGGGGCCCGACCCGTGGCAAGTGAAAAATGGGAGGGGCGCTCGATTTTGAATCCTCGTCCTCATCTTCATTGCCAGCGGTTCTTCGGCCTTCAATGGGCCTGCGATCGGCATCCCAGCCTTTGGTCGTGTGGCCAAGGCGACGGCCGTGGCATGAGCGTGCGCGTGGGCACTCGGGCTGGGCGTGTGAGGGGTGGCAGGCGAGGGATTTGCCAGAGTCCGAGAGTCCGACCTCGTCGCCGTCCGTCCCATCTGGCTGAGGACTGGTCTGCCGCGGCCTGGGCCACCTGGCCCCGCCGTGCGGGCGTCCTGCGTGGCCGTGAGTGGCAGGTGGATCTCACCTGAGTGGCCGTGAGTGGCCGTGAGGTGGCAGGTGGCCCGTGCGTCTTGTATGGAGGGATGCAAGATCTTAAATCCGAGCCCTCGTCCGTGCTGGCGTGGGCCCTGTGCGCCTGTGTGCAGGGATGGCAGGGGAAGGATGGTGGGGGCGACGGCCTCGTTTCCCTGTGGTCGAGGGGTTCGGCCAAGCGGTCGACCCAGGCATGCGTGCTGCGCCCTGGGCAAACAGGCGCAGCGTCACGAGGCAGGGCGCAACCCACGACGCAGGGCTCGGGGCCCGCGAGCGCCAGCTGGTTGCGCCGAGTGTCGCCGGCGCGTTGGGCACGCTGTCAGGACCAGCTGCGGAGGGCGCTTGGCCGTGGATGCGGGGGCGAGGGCAATCGGGTGAGGGGAGTCGTATGTGTGTGTGTGTGTGTTTCCGCCTCGTAGTCCTCATGCTCGTCGTGGTGGTGGTAGTGGTCGTCGTCGTCGTCGTCGTCGGCGTCGGACCTCACGTGTCAGATTCGAGGCGGTCGAGCCCCGCCTGGTGTTGGTGTTCGAGAGCGACCCGTTGGTCGCGGCCGCAGCGTTGAGAAGACTGGTAAAAAGGTCACTCCGCCAGTCGGGAAGGACCGCGGAGGTCCAGAGGGCGGCAGGTTGCTCCCTCGTAGAAGCGGGGTGCTCGAGTGGCCCTAGCTGTGGTGGGGTGCTGGGGGA